TCCTGTTGAGAGACAGATGATGATGATTTGTACATGTATGACAAGACTTCAAGGTTAGTGTGTTCAGAATGATGTATATTACATATGTGAATATTTCAAGCAGTGATTTTCTGATGGAAACTCACCTGCACTCGTTTCCTAATGTCTTGAAGGTTGTGCTCCAGGATCTGCTGCTTCTCTGTCACTACTGTACCAGTGGGATGAGCTGCCTGACCATCCTGCAAGAAGAAGATACACAACATTCAGAATCACTCAGCCAACCCATACCCATTAATGACTTTATTAAGTAAAAAAATCTTAAGCTTGGTTTGTGTGGCTTTCCCTACCTGTGCAGCAGTCGTTGCAGTCTGCAAGAGCCTTTGCTCCTCCCACAAGCAGCGGGCAACAATGCGTGCAATATCCATTGGCTTTTCCAAGTACTTGCTCTGCAGATGCTGTTTAATTCTGCGGAGGTTATGCTGGTAGAGCACGTTGTTTTCCTGCAGGAAACGGCTATACTGCTGATCTATCTCTCCCAGGAGGTTGTGAAACACCAGTGTAGCGTGTGACTCCTTATTGGCAGCGTAAGCCCTTGTCAAAGGAGAGGAGAAGATAACCCTTATAACTCAAAACATCAAACAGAAACATTCTCAGGAGAAAGCTTCACTCTGAATGGAAACTGTCAGGTACACTGTGATATATAATATGCATGAGTTCCCTGTAATTGAGTCGTGAGGGTAGACGTAGGCATGATAAGGAAGAGGTTGATAACTGATGTTAAAATATGATAGCTAACGTATTAGCAAGTCATGGCTACCTGCCAGTCTGGAAGAATAAAGTGGAGAATAAACACAAATGGCATATGATAACAAACAGGAGAAAAAACTTTAAAATGGGCTTTTATAACAGATCACAGGAATTAAATTATTACTCACCAGTCTTGGCTCTCAATCCAGGGGGCAAGAAACTGCCGGAGCTCCATGGGGAAGCTGTCACTGTACAAGTGGTAGAGCTGCTCCAGATACCTGGTCTCCAGCTGCTGCAACTGGTTCCACTGTGCCATCTTGACATACAGTATACCTCCTCAAACCTATATAAAGAGATAAGGGTAAGAACACACTGTAAATTAAGCAAGAGGAGACATACCGATAGAGAAACAGCTAAATGTCAAATTTCCTTTAAAAAATGATGACAGGCCCATGGGAGGCGTCCCTCTCAGTGCAGTCACTTCCTGTTCAGTGAAACACTAAACCTTCACTGAGAAATACAGGCCTACATGAACAGCTGTCAACTCCCTTAACAGATGGGAGTTATTGATCTTTTACTGATGTTTTGCCCAAGTCATAGTTGTAGTGAAAAAAACATTACTTCTGACGTGTTGAAAAGCTACGGTAGGGATGGATTTGTAACAAGAGAAACATACGTTCTTTGAAAAAATAAAAGATATTAATTTTCAAGCTCAATACAATGACTATTATCCATCAGATCCACTTGGCAGGCTCTTGGCCTTCTCATTTTACCAACAGCAGGCTCCACTGTTCTCTGGAGGGCTGTAGACTACAGTAAAAATACCTAGTCAGTGAATAAATCCAATAGAATGCTGTCTTTCCATCCATGCAGTATTAAATGATGAACTGAAGCCTTTGTTTAAGCCACTTATATAACCTTGGATACTTCTGCATTATCAATCAATGTATGAGTAGTTAGTTTCACAGTGTCACTGAACAATTCTGATATGAGCATTGACACTATGGAGAGTCAAAAGACAGACACACACGTTTAACCAAAGCTCTGATCCTATGTTAATGATGACTCAGATGTTTTTTTGACACTAAACCAGAATGTGCTTTCTGTTTCCAAGAGCTAAGGTGTTGCTTTTGCTGACAGAAAGCACAGATATAAGAGCCAACTTTTACTTTTGATTACTTTGTATACTCACTGTACTAAAAACTTTTGCCCATTATATACACACAAGTAGGACGGAGTAACACAAACTCCTCTCGATATAAAGCAATCCTCTATACCACAACCACAAATGTCAGCCTCAGTGATTACCATAGAGTTAATCAACTCTCCTCAGATACAGTGTCGAACAATGCGTGAACATTACATCCTTTATCCCCATTTGCTTCTTTCTCCCTCTGCAAACATTTAGACACAATGTAGAATAAAAAGTGTAGGTGTAACTAGAAATAGCCATGATGCCATTGCTACATTTAGGTTGTTTGCAGGGTGGACCTGTTGAGTTGTCAAACTGTTTAGTTGTGACAGAGGTCTCAGTCTATTTTCCAAGTTTCATTTACATCAAGTCAGTATTCTGAGGAAGCAACAAGAAAACAGTTAACAGCTCAGTTTTACATATTCTAAGTGAACTTTTTGTTGTGCATGCAAAACTGAAATTGTTCCACAAAGGTTCTTCTTTCACTGACATATGAAAGTGGCGTGTGAATTTCTGAGCACATGAAAACCCTGAGAGGTTCATCACTGAGCAGTCGGTTGTAATTACTGTGAAAATTCCATTCATCATCTCAATTGGGGTCAACTGCTTTACGTGTTGGTGATTTTGAGTTGAACATCTTTTATTTCACATTTCTTTGACACACAAAGAAACAATGCTAGGCAGTAAAAATATGGGATCAGGAGGGTCATTTAAGTTTAATCTGAAACCGTCGTAATACAATGTGACTTTTACTAGTCTCATTGATTTCATTTCAAGTCTTTTCATATATGGTATTGAATTACAAAATCGCTTTCCAGTAAAATCAGCACCTGCATCAATTGGCTGGACTCCTCCAACATATGCTCATGAAATACCTGTGAAAAATCTGCTGGATCACCAATGACCCAGTGCATACGATCATATCAGTGATATAACTATCTTCATGTTGATTAGCAATTACCTTAAATAACATCTGGCATGGAATTAATGATGCATAATCCCTGCTTTACAACTTTTTTTTTTTTTTTAATCAAATGACAAAGGCAAAATATTTGAGACAACTTGTCTGTGTCACAAAACATTTGAAAAAGAGAAATCCTGCACACTTAAAGCTTCCGATACAGGATTTATTTGCCAGTGACGGTTGGCATGGCACATAGCTTGACCTCAGACTTCTCCAAAAACAAATGTTTTGTGATGTTTTGTTGATCCATCACCCATCACAAGATTTCTTTACTGGGTGAATGATGTTCCCATTTTCTGATGTTGACTTTTCTGGGTGACACACATGCATTATAAATGACTTTCACAAATACTACTCTATGTGCCAAGAAAAGCGGTTTGAGCAAACACCACAGCTTTAATTAGCTTGCATACAAACAGACTTGGACAACATCATTGCATGTGCAGGGCAAACCAGATGTTCCAGGGCTTGCCAATGGTCAAAGACAATGAGTGATTCCATAATGTAACCTGATATTTCAGTTAGTACTTCCCGGAGCCAACAAAAGAAAGCAGTGTTCATGCTGATGGCCTCTCCATACATAACACAAATAATATTAATAAGCAGACTAATTAAAATAATTACTTACAATGCTTTATTGAAGCATTTAAGGTGGAAGGCACAGCACTTTTTCCTTTCTTGACATGAACTCAAGTTAGACTGAGCTAGATGATGACATTTATGAAGATCGTCCATCATACCATATCCAATTCTCTCGAGATGTAATATAAGGATGTGTTTGGCTTCCAATGCTTTAAATTGACCTTTTTTTGCAATCATCTATCCATATGGTGTATACATGCCATAAACAGTGGCTCATCACTGTATCACTATGACTCCACAGCTGTAGTGACTGCAGTGAATACAATAGCATCACAAACATTAAGATTCGGTGCGGGAATACGGGAAAAGGTGTGTGTCAGACACGTTGGCGTGCAGCTGGGAGGAGGGAGATGGGCGTTACAATTCATGGCAAACACAAAACAATGATGGTCAATGACCTGATTTTCACTGAGTCAAACGAACTCAATAAAACATGATGTGCTAATTATGAAGCGTCAGTCATGTTTTCACGACAACAGACGGAAAACTGAGCAGAAGTAAACAGGGAGATCCACACCACTTGTGCAAAACAGGAAACTACTATCCAGGAATCTTTGGTTGAGATATAAGCAGGTTTATAAGGTGGGAGCAGGGCTGAGAGATTAGCTTGAGTTGCTTTTACAATAAACAGGACATAGGATGGTTGCTCATGAATAACTTATAACGTAGTCACGAAGCTGTAATTGTAGTCCGGTATAGATACACCGTGTAATCACTCTGGTCTGTTGTGACATTACTACAAAAACCAGTTGACCTCGGGTTTGAGAGAAACTCATGACGAAAAGAAGAAGTGGTTTTATTCTTCGCCTACCTGGCTCGGTGTCACTCCTTTAAAAGTTTCTTCGTGGCGAACTGCGACCCTCGCCCCTTGAAAACACTCACAAACAGCCAGAGGAGACTTTCCGAAACAATGGAGCCGCGAAATTGAAGATAAAGTCGCAGAGAAAATGGCAAAAACTCCTTTCCTATCGTCCCCTGGTCGGGAAATACTTGTCTCGCACACGCACGAACCTATGCAGTGTTTCCGGCCACACAAACCTTATCACCCGCTCTTATTGACACCTCCGACGACCAATGGTAGCGGGGAACTCCACTGCAGCCAATCAAAATGTCTGTTTTAGACATAAGAGGCGGGGCTTAGCTGTGGGGTTGGTTGAGAACGTGGTGTTTACTGCCGTCGCAGCAGCGCTGTTCCCGCTGGGCGCGCCCTCCCCTGGGTTGCAACGTAGAGGAGAGTCATGCGGGGGGGAAGAGGAGTTCTTCGACGGAACAGCCAGCCTGGAAGTCATCTGAGTTACTGGCAGTGCTGACGTCATCAAGACTTTAATAACACCAGAGCTGATCTTTACTGATCAGCCTTCAATCACAGGTCAGTAACGTACATCTCCTCTCTCAGTGGGTAAATATAACATCTCACATAGAAGTAGTTAAAGACCCACACAAATAAAAGGCAGTATTTATTATTCAGTAAGCTTTTATTTTTTATTGAAGGGAATAGGCAAATAAAACAAGAGGCTTTAAACACAACAGCAACAGCTCCAGTGTCTAATTTATTTAATGACACCTACTTATAGCAATTATGTGAAACATTCATTTAAATGACTAATAATCTTTTTTTCTGTATTAGCTCAGCATCACCTACATTCCACTCGCAGCACACTGGTAGCTTATAAAAATGTACAAGGCGGCAAAAACACACATTTTCTGATATCTTACAAGTGTTTCAATGTTTGATGTGCAAGACAGTGCACATTCATGTCGAAAAAGAAATCAATAAAAGTGTGCTACTGTGATTATAAGCCTATGTGACGTCACAGACCGGTGCCTTGAGAGTTTCACAAACACATTGTGAGTATATAGTATGCACATACTTTTCACAATCACACAATTACACACATACAAAATGTCCTTCACCCAGTTTTCATACCCTGCTCAGTGCTCGGGAGCACTCTCCTTAATTGCATCCCTCAGCCTATTGATTGTTTTAATGGAGTTCCCTGCTACACAGTGGGCCTAAACCACATCAAGGTCACATACAGCCTCTAAGAAGGGAAAATGGAGGCTGCACCACCACCTCGTTTCCATCTGCAGCCCTGTGGTCAAAAGCAACGATAGAGCACTGCCATCATCAGGTTCAGAATAATCACAACCCTATTAACAAATAGCTTCCTCTAATCCTCCACTGCCACCTTATTTTGTGAGTCATGTCTTTGACTGCTATTTGTCACAGTTGTATTTTCCCCCATCACAGTGGACATTCAATAATAATTCCGAGGAGGAACACAGAATTTGCACCTGGTCTCTGTGAAAACGTTTGTGAACTGGACCGTGCAGTTGCGGTGGTCTGACATTTGTTCAAGTACCAAGCCATTCATAAATACCTGGCAGCGTGCTGTCTGCCTTTAACTACATTTAGAATGGCATTTCAATCTCCACAAGCCACGAGTTACGTAATCAGCCATTAAACTGTCATCTTGTTCTTCAGACCATATATTTTGTGCCTGCATCTACCTTGGGAAATTTTTATAGGGCTGTGCAAATGGACTAGGATGAGCTGTAACCATGGAAACGCAATTGTTTTTTTTCTGTGCAGCGGTGTGCTGTGTGCAACTTAGAAATATGACATGGGGAATGAGTGCGCTCCAGTAAAAGATGACCAAACAGTGTTTTCAAGCCTGCATTGTAAAGATAAATCACAGCAAAGGTTACATCCTAAATTTTATTATTATATGCTTTTAGTAGTTTAAAATCACTGCTGAAATGAGCAACCGAATAATGACCCTGGATAGAGTAGCAGGAGATATTTCCCTAATAATATAGCATACATTTAATTTGATCATTTGTATTTGTATCTTTTTTGTTTGTTTGATATAAAACTTGAGATCCTATAATGTTCGTCACAAGTTCATGAAAAATTCTTAACTTTTTAATTCTTATACATTTGTGTAAGTATTTCAGTATTCCTGATACAATTGAAAAGATATTACACTTCTATTTTCAGTACTTTACATTTGTATTTTACCTTACAAATAATTCTTACATTTGACACGATGCTGTGAGTAGTATATTTTGCTCTGAGGCATAACTCATTACTCAAGCACTCATTCCTTTGAGTTCAGTTTTATATTTTTACACATAATTTAAATCATCAACCACAATAACATACACCACTCAGCCACAACATTTAAACTGTGCCTGGTTTTATTGTTGTGTGTGTTTGTGTTCACTTTGAACCATCAGGATTTCAAATTTAAGTTCAAGGTATTTCGTATGTCTTTCTGGCTTGACCAAGTCAAAAATACACAGATCTGTGTAAATCTTCCAACAACTTCCTGTTACCCTTCCTATTAATGTGCATTTCATACACGGTTAATATTATATTATACATTACATCTCAATAGCAAAGACTATTTATATCTTTTTTTCTGTATCGCTCCTCAATTTATCAACCAACAACAATCAGCAAAGATTCTAAACAAGTCTAAGATTCCCAGTCAGCCTGCAGCATGTTTCAAAAGCTTTGTTTTTTAATAGATTTTCTTATTTATATGGCAAAGAGGAGCAAATATGAAAGTTATCCATTTTTGGTACAATAAAAAGAGAACAGAAAACAAACGACATATCATAGATTGTGATCACGTCTAGAAAGTCTCTACAACTAATATTGTGTCCATGTAATTAGACTAATGTATCGAGACTTCTTTCCTTCTTCATTCTTTCATTCATTGAGACTTCTTTCCTTCTTTATTCATTCCTTCATGAGGGCTTCTTTCCTTTCCTCATTATTTCGTCTTTTCCTGCACAGGTGGGTCTCTCTACTCGCGTTGTGCCTTCTTGAGGTGGTCTGCCTCCACCAGGACCAGATCCTCAGTCACCTCCAACAGAGCATCCATCTCTGGGCTGTCCACACTCACCAGCTCCCCTTCCTCCACCTCCACGTGCACGCCGAGCCCATTCTCCTCTTCCCCCAGGTGGCCCTCAGACTCAGCCACCTCCTCCATCTCTGTGTTCTGTATCACCTCCTCCTCTTCCCCATCTCGGATCTTCTTCACGTGGAAGGTGAATGGGGGCACACGGTACACGGTGGTCTTAGAGCGAGCATAGACCGTGTGGTCAGGGGTTAGGGACTTCCTCACCTTATCTTTGGAGGTCTTCATCTTTGCCCGGCGCTCCTGGTTGGGTGTCATGCGGGTCCCGAGTTTGCCGATCTTCTTCTCTAGGCTGTGCTTAGTTTTCTCCAGGTTGTCACGGGTTCTCTGTCTTGTCTTCTCCAGGTTCTCACGGGTTCTCTGTCTTGTCTTCTCCAGGTTCTCCTTGGTCTTTAGTTTGGTCTTCTCCATTTTCTCTTTGGAGAAGGCTTTCTTTATGTTGTCCACTTGCTGCTTGGTGGTGCGTTGGAGTCGCTTGGTACGAGACTCTTCAATAATCTCCTCAATCTCCACCTCCTCGTCTGAATTGAGATTGGCCTGGACTCCCTCTTGTCCCTCTTCGGGTATCTGCTCAAGGCCCTCCACTGCGTTACCCTCTGCTGTCTCTGCCGTCTTGTCTTTTGATGCCTTTGGTGCCTTCACATGGTCCTGCAGGAGAAAATAAGGAGGGATACAGAAAAGCATTAGCCACAGTAGCATCAGATCATAATGCATGAAATTAATTGCATTTCCACTTTGACATTTACTCCAAAATTAACAGTCATGAAGCTAAACTGACTGTATTGTATGATTAATGTAAATTATGGCATTTCATTTTATATGTCATGTGAAAATTATCAGTTTGAGAAAGTGAAGTCAATGGCCTTTGGGTGATAAATGAAATAGAAAATATGAGCATGTTGCCTCACAGATTGATGTAATCGACAAAGTCAATGAGCTCAGTTGTTCACTGCTTCAAGCTAGTGTAGACTGCCATCTAGTGGTGTTTACCACGTGCCAGTAAAGTTACATCCCTTTACTTTACACTTACAATGATTACAATTACAACAACTCTGGTTGTGGTGCATTTCATGACACATCTCCCATATAATATGATTTCAAAGAAAAATGATACAATCGGCAGCTCCACAGTCATAATGAAACCAAAGCCTACGGGTACATTTTCTGCCATGCTGCTGTTATTTTCTCTGCACTCAGTCCAGTCTAAAAATAAATTAAGAAGACTCTCAGGTTCTTTCAGGTTATTTGTCTGAATAAAACATAGATTATCTATGAATTACAAAGGTTTTATAATTTATAATGCTCTCACTTGTATGTAAGGACGTTGTGGTTAGAACAGTATTCAATTTCTAAAAAATAAATAAATAAACGTAATTTAAAGAAAGGACTGCTTTCAAGGTGCTTTTCAAGTTAAAAACAAAAAAAAAAACAAGATACAGCCATACAGACAGCTTCCCCTATCCTTTAAAACCTATTTGCCAAGTTTACCCATGAATTCTCAAATGTAACCCCCCCCCCACCCGCCCAGTCTACTGTTCCACAATCCAAACCAATGCACACAGAAGGTTTTCCATGACTTAACAACATGATTTGTTCACACATCACTACACTGCTATAATGCTGACAGCTGCCAATCCATCAGCACAGCAGCATCCATATTTCCACAGTGTGGCACCAGATATCCACTCAGGGAGAAGAAGTTCAAGGCAAAGAATGTGATCCCTCTGAACGGGATGTCTGTGACCTCCCCTGGAGGGATTTGTGGCCCCACCCTGCTGCACCTCGTGCCACGCCTCACTGCCTCACTGCGCTAGATTTCATCAGTGCACCAACATCATTAACTTTACACTCATGGGAAATATAGTATATTTTCATAGAAATGAGAGCTTGAGTCACCATGGCCTTATAACCAGAGCTGCCCATGTCACTGTATAGTATGAATTATAGTTAGACTAATGAATGTTTGATGATACTGATATCCTGAATTATTATTTTTGATCTTTTTGTTTTATGAAATATATTTTTTTAATTCTTATCGTGGTAGAAAATAATTTAAACAGTATTCAGACTAGTTTGACATTTTTAAGAGACAGCAGGTCTTCAATGCAAATAACCTAAAATATTCTAAAATTAAAATATATATATATATCTTTGATCAATGTCTATGTCTTTATTAGCAGAGAAAAGTAGATGGTTCTCAATGTAAGGATTATCTCTCAGTATTGACCTTATGTGGTTTAATGAGGTTACACTCAACCTGTTGCCTCATATAGACTGGAGCCACATATGCTCAGTTGAAATAGATATACAGTACTGGCACACTGCACATGTCTGTTTGTCTCAGCACCTATTCATTGGACAAATTGTAAAAACAAACAGCCTCATAAGGCAGCACTATGCTGTCAAATTAATCACCATCACCACATCAACAGTTTGAATTAATTCATCACCTCTGTGACGACCAGCTGCACCAGCTTCATCCTGCTTCCTGTGTTGGGTTTGCTGCACCAACCAACAGACATCACACTATATTCTCACTCATCCACACACGTCTGACACAACTGATGTCTCTCATACTTACACATCCCACCATTCAATTAATATGCTGTATTAGTGGCTAAATAAATTACTTTTGATTGATCTATTTGTGTGTGCCCTCCCTTTTTGTTGCCAGCCTTGAGCCAGGTGGTAACACCTCTGACACAAGCGCATGTCCTCATCATCCAGTCTCATTTAATCACTCTTCCTTCCCCCGCCTAGCTGTCACTTCAGATGAAATCAGGTTCTAATTTATGTGGTTGTACTGTTTGTTTTTTATTTAAACACCTTGCCGTCTTATCATTATCTCATGTGCCACGCAGACGATGACTGTATCCACTGAAACTCAAGTCATAGAGGTATATGCCATTTGAACATGCAGGACATTGTTGAAAAAATAAGATTCACATAATTTAGAGCAAACAAAGATGGTAGTCAGTGTACGTCTAAGTTTTGGGGATATCAAGACTTATGGTGTGAAGAAAGAAACAAATGTGAAGAAAACGCAGGTGAAAATAATTTACGTATAGTTGATAAAAATCTGTTTCCAATGTAGAATTATACATCAAGAATTTTTGTTTTTTATTTTAGTATTTATTTCCGCTGAGGAGGTTATGTTTTCAACTGAGTTTGTAGTTTTTGTCATTAAATCAGCATAATTATGAAAAAAGTATTGGACAGATTACCATGAAACTTGGTGGAAAGAAGAAAGCGGGGGGGGGGGGGTCTTTATGGACTGCGTGTGTGAATTTGGTGCAGATCCAAATAAAAATCTATATCTAGTGAATTCATAGGAGGCTTGTTGAGGTTAGAGGGATGTACTCTAGTGCCATTCTAGTTTGGGCATTTATTTGGTAGTTGCTGGGCAACAGATCAGGGGAATGACATGTAATAAATGGTATGGACGGCCATGATGGGAAATTGGAGCCTCACTGATAAGGGCAGCTGTACTCATTTGGTAAATGTACAAGAATAAATAACGTGAGAGTGTTTTTTGTTGTATTAATTCATCAGTAATGTGCAGTGTTGAAAAATACGCAGCAAATAGGATTTTAATCCTGATATCTGATTTATGACAGACAGACACCTGTCAGGTCACGAGTGGCAAATCTCCCTTGGCAGTTCAAATATTGCCATACAGTCCTGTCATGATACAGACCGTGCCTCCTTATCTGGTGCTGCGTGCGGTGTGGACCTGCTCCATATAGGTTTATTTTGGGCTGGCCTTTCCCTCTCTGTGGATACCATCTATCATTCTCTGGCCACCAGCCACCGCAGCATTCAGCCCTGCCACACAACACCCCTCCCCTCTCCCTACACAGCAACAGATAAACACTGCTCTCTGTCACCATGGCGACCACCTCCTCACGTTGTCTCTGATGGGCGGGTGAAGTTTAGCCAGATAAACAGCTGACAACTCAACAACAATATCCCAACAGGAGGCTGTCAGTTGTTCTAAGCGTATTACATTTACATTTTGATCAAACTGCACCTCCTTTGCAGACATGAGGTGTAACAGTAACATTGATGAGAGATATTTTTGAATCTGTGAGCAACATTTTTCCATATGTATGATTAGAACAATGTAGAATCTTAAAAATGGAATTGGACATATACAAAAAGCTCTAAAAAATGGCCTGATATTTTACTAAAAAATAAAATATTTCAAAGATAAGCCTCACATAGTAAACATGTGTACCCACAGCAGAATTACATACATAAAAAAACCTACTATGCACTCAATAGCTGTGTAGGAAGCTGTTCAACTGAGCTCATATGTCCCCGGCAAAGCTTGTTTTCTGCTGTGGGGTAAATTTGGCTGGAGGGCTAAAATTGAAAGCCAATGTGTTAATCTTACATTTTAAAAATATATTTATATACAAATGCATCTGTTACGTTCATGGAGAAAGTAACAAGTATGAGTATTCATGCCAACACGTATTTATCCACCCTCACGCACATGAAGCCAAACTGTGAACACCTTTCATAAGAAGTGGCAGCTCTGATCCCCGAGCAGGACATTTCCACAGCCAACGGAGAAACAGCAGTGAAGTCATGCAACACAGGGAAATTACGACATGTTCCAGCATCGTGTCCGTTATATAATACTACTATCTGTAATGAGCTAATACTTTGAGTTACATTGCAAAACTTTTCAGTCTTTTTTAGGCTCTCAAGGCTCGTGGGAAAGTGTAACTAAAAACAAAGACGCTGCTTGTTGGAACTTTTTGCTGTTTACATTCTTAAAACTTGACTCAGTCCGCTGTATCTGTGGAAATTGTGATTATATCAGCAAACCCTGTTTGGGTTTCCCTGCCTGATTACAAACCAAAAGAACCCAGTGAGGAATGGTCCAGTCCATTAGTGTCTCTGCGCTGCCTTCCTCTCTCCTTCCATTTACCAGCAGTGGAAAAGTCAGAACTCTGTGAGTGTGTGTGTGCTCTCCTCAATAAGAGGGTCTGTTGCTAATGTTTCTTTCCTCCAAATAGCATGAATCACACCTCATGGAAAAGCGGCCCATAATGGGGACTCTCTCTTTGTCCTATTTGTTCAGACAAGCTGACGACTGTCTCTCCACTGAGCTGTCTGTCTGAGCTGTCTTTCAGAAATAGGCACAACATAGGAGATGCAATTAAAAAGTCCCAGCAGATATGAGAGAGAGAGAGTTTGGTAAACAGCTACGACTCAAGTTATTATCAAGCGAGCCAGCAATGTATAAACAGGGAAAAGATGCAGGAAGCAGCTCAAGATGTAAAGAGACATCATCCAAGAATTGAGAATAATCAAAATCCCCAAAACAATAATATCAGTCTACAGGGAAAAACAATCCTTCAAAAATCTTTGGATTTTAAGTGTTTGTGTAAAAACAGCATTGTTTTTCTGTTCTCTGTCTGACTCATACAAGGGCTCAGGCTTTAACCAGAGACATTACTGGATTTACATGTAGGTTTTTGTGCTGGTGACCGTTGAACGAGCAGTTATGTCACTCTCACCATTCATTCTGACAGGAACCTGGCCTTATCCTGAAATAACTGCGAAGACGGCAGCAGAATGATGAGTCCTGCCTAAAAGGACTTTGCTGTTACTATGGACAACAGCACAGTGTATAG